TCCACGGCCGTCGCAGGAGAAAATTTCACTATTTTCGTCTCTTTTACATCATGCCCTAATCAACCCTTTTATAGACTTAAGGGTTTTACAAAACCCGACTCGCGGTCGACCGCCGCGCCATGCGCGATCGACCGCGATGAATCCTTCTCCTAATCAGAGTCTCTGGAGTTTTAGCAACGAAACCTCCTGGTGATGGTAGCTCTATGGACTTTTGGCGGTCGACCTTGGCTGCTCTCTGGACTTTTGGCGGTCGCCCGCCGTGCCATGCGCGGTCGACCGCGAAGCTGCTCCTCAGCAATGTGCTTTTCTGTGCACGTCGGCGGTCGACCGCCGCGCTATGCGCGGTCGACTGCGACTCAGTCAAAAATGCGCCCTTCGTCGTTTTGTTTGAACTTCGTCGTCATCGATCCTGTTCCTCTTGTTCCACTTTGTTCCTCTTCATTCTGAAGTATAGGGCAGATCTGATAGTTAGGTTTCACATATCCTAACAGCCGGCACCGTACACCCCAGTCACTTCACATTAAATGTGGAAGTGACCTCTCCTCCACTCGTCGACCAACATCTGTAAAGTAGATGCTGAGTTGGCCGTTAGCCCATACTCGATCGAAGTTACCATCCTACCCCCTATTATCACTATAAATAGGGAAACTATTTTTAACAATAAGGTAAGATCTTCATCTCTACCCACTGTGCTTAAAAACTTTTACAGTATAATTACTTCTACACTCAAGTAAATTACTGACTTTATCGTCAGAGGAACGACCGGGGAAACCAACCCCGTCCTCTTATGATTTTCTACCTGTGCAGGGAAGAACAACTCACTTCAGAACCGGACATTCGGAGGGTTAAAGAACCTTCGTCAACTAAATTGCTTCTCTCATTGACTGTTTGATATCAGCCATCAACAAGTGCAAATCATGGGTATGGTGAGTGTTAGATTTTGATTGAATCATAATCGTCTAGTAAACAATTTAATAGTTATGATTAATGTAATGATCTCTCCATTATTTTTTTAATAGTGAAGAGAATCCAAATCCCTTTCGTATCCTTTTGCAGCATTAAATATCTATATTTGCAATGGTAAACTATATTTTTACAAATTGAGCTTTTTAAAGTCGTCTTTAGAAACTCTCTTCAATATTTGTATAAGTACTGAAATTAGGGATGGGCGTGGGCCGGGCCAGTTCAGACCCATGACCCGACCCGTCGGGTTCAAGGCTAGGCCGAGCCTGACCCGAGCTCGACCAGGTCAGAGTGAGCCTGGTCTATTTCTTTGATCCCGGATCTAGGATTGGATCCAGCCCAGCTCACGACCCGCCTAGATGCGGGTCGGGTCTGACCTGGTTCACAGCCCGTGTGTCATGGGCCGGCCCATAGGTTTTTCATTCTAATTTTTTCCTACTATTTACCTTTTTAATTATAATTAAACTTGTATTTTCAATTATAAAATTATTTTAATTTATTTTTTAGTAATTTAAATTTGTATTAAACTATTTTTAAACTAGTATTAAACTTTTCAATCAATCTAGGTAGACAACAATGATCTTACAGAATACTGCTTTATTTCTCAATGGGTCAAAAGACCTATGAGCCAAATACCTATGACCTTTTAGCTTTGATGACAGCTAGTTTCAGACCCAACGAGCTAAAAGAACAGCTAGTTGCAAACCCAAAAGACCAAAAGAATAACTAACCCAACCAAAAATATGCATGAGTCGGGGCGGGTCGGGC